TCTATCTGTCGGTATATCTGTAGCCGGGCGAGTGGGTGGGTTACCTCACGTCCTCACGTATTGACTGCCAACTTTTGTCGCGGTGTACGGAAAAACACCGCAACACAAACAACAATCCGCGGCCCTCCCCCCAGTCCCTTTCCTCCCCCCCCCCACACTCACACACACACACACACGCACACGCACCCACACCTGCATGACCACCACCTCCAAGTTGAACCAGGGCTCCCGCTCCTCCCGCGCCTCGACTCCCTCACGAGAGGACAGTGCCAGCACACGGGACTTGACCTGAGGTGGAAGTGACAGTGATGGCAGTAAATGCTTTGAAAGCCTTTAAAAATCTGTGAAAAATAATGTAAATGGAGAAGGAAGAGAAATAGAAGCTGCAGCAGCAGAAGAAGAAGAAGAAGAAGAAGGAGAAGAAGGAGAAGGAGAAAGGAGAGCGCGGTCCAAGCAACATTCCCATTCATTTTAATTTCGAAGCTTTTGCGCTGCCTCTGGCTGTGCCGCCGTACCTCGTCGTACCGCCTCGTCAGCAGGTCAATCCTGTACGACACGCCCGGTGCCGCTGGCTCCATTTTCTCCAGCAGCTTGGCCACCAGGTCTGGCTGCCAGCGCTCGTGAAGATACTCCGAAACCAGGGTGTGCTCGGGCCGGGCGATGTGCATGGCACCTGGGGAGTGGACGTGCGTGCGTATGTATGTATGTCGCACGTATGTTGTTGCAGGGTGGTTAACTTCGCCAGCGGCCCCCTTTCCCGAGGCAGTCCCTGCTCTCCCCTGCTAGAGGGGCACCCTAATCCGTCACCCCATCCGACTTCAGAATGTATTCGTTGGGTTCGGCAACTCACCACCAGCATCCAACCAAATCTAGCGGATCAACGGCGAATCAACTTAGTTCCTGGTTAGCTCGCAAGTTGATATTATCACGTCCTACACCGTCCATATGATGGGGGGCCACCTCCCATTTCAACACTCCTCAAACACCCGAGGAGCCGGCAGGCGGATTTGAACCCGTAAGTCTTATGTGTTTTTCTAAGCATCCGAGCCGGGGGGGATGGAAACGTTGGGGATGTCACGCCAACTACTTTAGCGCCGTAGTCCAGCAATGAACCAGAATGTCTATCTGTCATGTTTTTGGAATTTGGAATCCCCTGTGCTCAGCGATAAATCTCAAAAGCCTCCTTATTTCCGCAAGGCTCTATTTGCGCGACCACCTCTTAGGATTATGGCTGCCTATGTAGCGGCTGAGTTGGCCAGATTGGGGGTGTCAAGGAGGCTGAGAGGCGGTAGTTGGGGTAGTTGGGGTGCTGACGCGGGTTCCGGACACGGTCACCCCGAGGAGGCGGTCAAAGAGGAGAGGGGGTCAAAACACATGCCGTACATGAGCCAGAGTGTGCCGTACGTCAGTCGGACTGGAGAAGGAAGCCGAGCCAACACCGCAAGGTCCGCCTAGCCAGCAAGCCCTTCGCCTCGAACCAACTACACACACATACATACACACATACATACGCACACCCACCCACCCACCCACCTGCCAGCCTGCTGACTGTATCCATGGGGTCGGCCTCCTCCAGAAACCTCCACCGCTGCTCCGAAACCGCCCTCATCTCCTGCCACACCCACTCCTGCGGACCTGGGAGCGGGGCCCGAGGAAAGGAGGAGAGTGGGTTGGAGGTGGTTGAGGTGGTTTCCTTGACTCTTGCTGCATTGGCCCATTTCCCTCTCGCCCCTAAAACCCTTGGCCCAACCCGGCCCCCCCCT